TTCAAGAAAAAAGATTTACTTAAATTAAACAAACAATTCATTAAGTTCAAATAAACAGTTTTCTTATTTTAAGAAAATCACATTTTCATGTCTTTTGTGGAAGAATTTTGAAAGTGTATTTCAACAATATTCGTGGGCTATGTGGAAAAAGGTCGTAAGAACCTAATCCAGGAAAAATGAAATGTGGATGGATTGAGCTCTTTAGAATCATTTTAATCTAATTTTTTATTACACTTTTCACTGCAGTATATACGACCTTTTTTCACCATCGTCTCCCTGATCGTGAAACCATAGAACGGAAATTTCTTCCCCCCCTCCCCTTCAATACCTTACGTGATGTATGTACAGCCCCTAAAAATTATTGCATGTTTTTCGTTCAATCTTTTTCGATTTTATTACCAACTCAAAGCGATAATAAATTTTTAGTATCAGATAAATATTTATTTAGTTCAAAGAAAAAATTTATTTGGATCAAATAAAGATTTGTTAATAGTAAAAAACATTTATTCAATATAAACAAAACTTTAAATAAAATTCTTTATTCAAGTTTTTTTTAAAATTATTTAGTACTATTGAAATAAACTTATTTACTTGATTCAAATAAACTTTATTTGAATCAAATAAATCATTTTTCTGTGTATTCCGTATTTTTTGTATTTATCACTTCAACCACTTTTTGCCTTGACCTTCAAACGCTGATGGTTACTGACCGTATCCATCGTCTCCTTAACAAATTCAACTGAATTTCATTTTTCTGTTCTACCAATAAGTGACATCTTTTCATGTCCAATCCAGACACGTTATTAAATGAGATAAAAGCCGTTCCGTGCACCTATTGCAACAGAGACTGGGTGACAACGTGAGTCATTCAGTTCATTCGCATCACTCGAAACGTAATTCGTGCTCCCACTTGTACTATTCCACGCTGAGCGAATGTTGGAGGCTTTTGATTGACAGAAATTATATCAGAAAACGTGCGATTATTCAACCAGAATATTCATTAGGCGGAGAATAGTAAATCCTTTTTTTTTCTGAGTCATCTATTTTTGAACTGATATATTTTTTGCCGTGATTTTTCCATATCAGGAATAAGGAAATAAACTCAAGGTCTTCTTACACGACGTAATTGCTACGTTTTATTGTCTAATCTAATTGTACGTGACCACTTGTAGCTCTCCACTCGGAATCAGTTAGTAATGCACAATCTGGAAAGATTCGATGAAATATATTTTTCAATGGAATCTCTAATCTATGATGAGCGGATGCATATCGATTATTTGTTAGTCTAATCGGGAATGAATATGTATAACCAGATGAGTAAGTTGTTTTTTCTTCCGTAAATTTATTTGGAATCAGGATTTTCTTACAGTGGAAAAAAATCCATCTCATTTTAGCATTCATTACCGGAATCATCAATTACCGGTAATTGTTCATCTGCGAAGCGAAATTGTGATAAGATTGATGAAAAAATTATTTTATAGCGTCAATGCAAAAAACGCAGAATCGGTTAACTGTGGCTGCTGAACACGGCATTGATTAAAATTGGTGGTTAAGCCTCGAGATATTTGCTATCATCAACAAACAGTTGCAGAAATAACACAATGCAGATTGCTTTTAGCGAATACAACCAAGAAGAAAAACGGGAGAATATCGTAAGGAGGTGCAGTTTCTATTTCGGTTCTTGTTTCTTCGAAGGAAGTTCTGCAGACGTTTTAACTTAAGAGTATGGTAATACCTACGTTAGTCCAAATAGGACATGCGGTATGAAGTCAAAAATTAAAGCGCAAAATGGGAAATATCGTTAATTCAAGTTTTTTTCAGGAAAAAAATTTTTAGATTATTCATATTGAGAATAATCCCGTTTCGCCTCCTACCTCGTCCAATCATTTCCTATGACGCCACAAAGATGTGGAACGCTATATAAATTCCCGTCTTTAATGTAAAAATGTGGAACACTTCAAGATTTTGCGTTCCACCTTTAAACCGAATCCCTCCGAAAACCCACGTTTACCGTACCCCGCGGTCTATCAGACCGCTACTCCGTCTGGATCGCATTTCCAGTTTGTTTGTGCCACTGAATCAATACTTTTTGTAAGTGAAGGTTCAAATGAGGGCTTAAACGGGGAACGGTCGAACAAAGAAAACTTAAACGATGGAAGGGTTAACCGGGGAAGGGTTGAACAGAAGAGGCAAAACATATGAGTATATTTTTTTTCTTCGCACATTAATGTTTGTCATGAACATTTTTTCATAGAAACCTCGCTGGTTAATCCTCGATTATCGAACTAACAAAGATATGGTATTCATTATGAATAATTGGCGCTAATTATTATTTTTTCCGTCCCGGCGGGCGCAAAGTTACATTACCCTCCCGCTTCGCGGGAGGGAACTCTGACTTTACGCCTACGCCGAGATGGAAAATCGCGTTCTACGTTCGCCTTCGGCTCGGCTGGTAATTGCACTGGCGGCTGAGGATCCTTTATTTTCCCTCCCTAGGTTAGAAATACACTATTATCAATTCCGTCAGGGAATAAATTAGAAGAAACATTGGTGGTTTCATGGTTTTATCGGGGCGAAAAAAAATCAAAAACGTTTGGTATTGATTGGAACCGATGAAATAGGAAGCCACTGGAAGTTTAAAATTTGTTTCTTACATTTATCAATAGTTATTGGGACCGCTAATTACCGATGGCGGCGCTCGTTTTCACCAATATAGACGATTTTAGGCTTCCCATATACACGCTAACACAAGCCCAAATTCGGTTGTATACTGTCTGTGTGCAGCCCAATATCCGCCATTCATAGGTGGCGTTTTGATATTTAGCGTTTCCAATACACTGTGAAAGTTTTGATAGCGGTCCCACAGACCGGGAGTTCGGTGTAAAGGTTAATAATAATAGTCATTCAGTTACCAGAATTTTAGTTGAAAAAGAGCCTGAAAACGATGAGGAAAATATTCTCTGATAAAAAAAGTTCCCTGTGCGGTAGAATCAGCGATAAAAATGACGGAATTCTTTCCGGTCCCGGATGTCTAATCTCACAATGCACATTTATAGGTCGAAATTTCTGCTTCGAATACTTTTAATGCTTGTTGTAAATTCCTAAGATTCTTTCTTCGTTTCAATCCTTATCCTTGACAACAGGCTCATAAAAAATTATCGAATGCAATGAAACACACTCGTTAAGGAGAGGTTTACCCCGGAAAAAAACTTTTGTTTTTCAAGAAAAAAATCAAATAAAAATTTCCTGCGTGATTTTTCATCAAGAATTTGATTTTGTCGGTCAAAATTCAAATTTTGTAAAATCCAAAAGTCGCCTTCACAAAAATCCCCAACGTATTTTTATAAAAATAGGGTTTTGAATATGATTACAAATTTTTGTTTCTTAATTATAAAAAATGTCGGAGAAGATACATTTTGCATTTTGCGATTTTTTTTCCATTAATATCTGAAGAAAAAAATTCTTGTCCAAATATTATGTATAAACTTTATTTATTAATGTTAACTCTATGTTTGGTGGTCCTTATACATGTCCTTATATATCTAGTCTCTCATTACTCTATAGTTGAGAGGGGTCCTCTCAGTAATCAACATTTCGCCAACGCCCTTCCTCTCTAAAATTCGGATAGGTAAATTTTTCTGTACTGTTTTCATTAATCTTCCGTTTTTTATGGAAATTCACTCATTGTAATTGATACTCATCAACAATTTCGAGAATATAATCGATTTATTGGAACTGACGACTTTTTTTGGTTGACCAATAAACATGCCGAAAAAAGGCTAGTTTAAAATTTTTCTCGAAAAATGAAAAAAAAAAATCCCGAGATGAGCCTCTCCTTAATTGGGAAACAAATATTATTCGTGTCATGTTAGAAAAAAATTAAAAACATACGTTTATATTTTCGTACTAGGGGGCTCCCTCCGCTCGTCAACCAACATATGATCCTCATAATAATTCTTATTCAGACCCTTGTGACCCTTAATCTGATCCCCGTGACTCTCATTTTGACCCTTCTCAACCTCAGTTTATGACCCCCATGACCCTTGTTTGGACACCTTCATCTAACCTTTGTGATCATTCATCTGACCCTTGTGAATCTCATTTGGATCCTCAATTTGACCCTCATTATAACCCTCGTGACTCTTATTTTGACTTTGGTGACCCTTAGTTTCTAACCCTTGGTTTTTGACCCCCATATCCCTTATTTGGATCCTTACTTTGGCCCTTCTGACCCTTATGTGGAGTCTAATTCTGACCCGTCATTTGACCATCGTGACCCTTATTCTGACCCACATGACAGTTATTCTGACAATTGTGGCTGTTATTTTGACCCTTCTGACCTTTATTCTGACCCTCACGACCCTTGTGACTTTCAATTTCGGAGCCTTAATGTCGAGTACCAAATATTTATCACCAGAAGTCAATTTGGATTTTTATAATATAGAGAAATTTACTCACTCCAAGTAGCATCGACAGAAAATGTAATGAATAATATTAATCGGGAAGAAAAATTTATGGATAATGCGTAATACTGTGTCAATGAACAATAAAATGTAAATTCATGTAAGACTGAATCAAATAATTGATAAATGATATAAACTCAAATATTGCGATACCACTAATGTGATACATCTAGAATTCTATTCTCCAACCCTCGACTACAATTTCATGTGAACATTCGTTTTCATTTTTCATTAGTCGTTGATAACAAGCCACGCTTCCAATTAGCAAAATTAGAACATCGCCTGACCCGCAAATGTTAAAAAAACAGCAGTAGACCTGATAGCTTCCTTTATGTATTACATATCGTCCTACCCACCTAAGGCTCCCATGCGGCTCTACCAACACACTCTAGTGAACCATGTGTACGTCTCATAATCGCTTTTAAATGTCTTGGAATTATCCAATGAAAAGAAAAAGAGAAAAAGCTGCAAAAGAGGTGGGGCGAGAATTTCACACAGGTACAGTTCTTCCTATGTTTATGTTACATCCATGAAGCCGAGGCCGTGGCATCTTTAGATTCAGCAAAGACCACTCAGTTACGTTCCAACACTCGCACAACTGTTGACACCGCCCGGTAAACTATATATTTTACTTTTATTTAATTTAATTTCATTCATCCCATGATTTGCATAGTTTCATCAACGCAATTCGTAACCTACACTCTGATCATTATAATCATTGTAAATCTCAGGGAAAAGACCAGAAGGTTTTGCAGATTTATTTCTCTTGATTAACTTTACGATTTTACGTTTTACTCCAGAATCCTTCAGTTGATCGTGATTTTTTTTATCGTCCTGGGCGTAAAAATAAATATATTCCACGTCCTTCAACTGATCGGACTCAATGAGATAGTTGAAAAAAATAGTTTATCATAATTTTATTTTCGTTTTCTAGATATTTTCTATAATCATAGTATTAACGATATCCACCAAGTTTTTCTGTGGTCCTGACATTTTCATATGGACAGTTAATATAATTAATTATTGTATATTAGTGCTATCATTAACCAATTCTTATTATTTCTGCACTTGACTATCATGAATAACTCTGCGATAACTTCCCCCACTTCATGACATAAAAACGCAGCCGAGTGTATAATTTCTCCGGTTAATTATGAGCACGAGTGACACAATCCATTCAGTATTCATCTGCCACAACTTTTTCTATTTGTTCTTCATATTGTTTCTCGTGTACTTAGCATTGCATGTCAACAAGGTAATTATTTGTTACTGAAATTCACTCCAACTGCTTGGGATACTCAGGCCTTTTTCTGCGTCACTAGGACTTTTACTTTATAATACCAACTCCAAGGTCAGAGGAAGATACGAAATTCAGAGTTGCGTATGTATGTGGAATCTCTATTTGAGCAAGTGCAATTTCGTTGCGCACTCAACGTTTACCATACGTCTTTGATTGGAGGGAGGGGTTGAGATGGATGAGTTTATTTCCATGCACATGGGTCTTGGAAAGTACTAGAGTCCTCTCTAAGGGAATTTAGTACATCTCCATGGATGATTGTTGCTCATCACGTGTCTCCTCCATGATCAATTTTGATTATTTAATTCGTTGGGGGTAGATCATTCTAGGCACAAAGTGTCCCGGCAATGGGGATTATGTTATAGTTAATGGTAAATAAAAGGGTTTGGAGGGGGGAATGGCGCGGGGTCGCCGGACTGCCTCCGGCAACCGAATATAAGCTGATCATTTTCGCTCCAGCATCCATAGCCAGTCTTGTACTCAGTGCCTGTCAAACCGGTAGGTTTCGTTTCACTTTCACAATTGTTTTTTTATTTGTCATCGGTGTCTGGTCCTCATTGACGTATTATGCGTTGCATTGCGGTAATAGTTGTTTAGGCATTGGTGTAATTTACGTCTTTTTCGAATCTGACGCTTTTAGGTGTATTTTATGGCCGGATTATTTATTATCTTTATGGGGAAAAAATTATTTTCAAGTGATAAATACTGACTTGCGGTAAAATTTCTAGGCTAGTATTACAAACTTGGAATTCAGTTGGGAAGAGATAACAGGGCGCAAGTCAATTACAACTTATTATCAGTTCTGGTGAGATGTTTCGGAATCTAGAAGGAATAAAGAATTTCCTGGAAAAACTCTTTTTCCAGATCGCATTACTTTCTGTCAATGAGATCTTTGCGGAAAATTTTCTAATTCCTTCGGATTCTACGACATCTTGCAAAAACTGATAGTGAGCGGGAAATTGTCATGTAAAAAAATTCATAAAAATTACGGACAAAGCATAATCATTATATAATAAATATTAATAAAATTCCACAAAAACGCGAAAACGTGAAATGGTGAAACGTAATTTTTAAAACTTTTGTGGAGAATATTTCTGAATTTTTTACGTGATTTACGCGGTGATTCTTCTAATGTTTTTGCCTTTATGTTGAACAGTCTTATCTCTTCGCTACCGCCAGGTATAAAAAAAATTAGTCGAAAAACCTAGTGAATTCGTTAGACAATTCTATTTAATTTCTATTAAAATTGCCATTAGTTTTTAGCCGATTCTATTGAAATGTTCAATAGAAAATATTTTATAGAGAAAGTCAATAAAATTTGATTTTCGTATACAACTTATTCCATTGAGATATTTTCTATAGAATTTCCTCGGCTCAAGTTTTTTTGGTGGATTTTCTTGACGAAAAGAAAAGAAAAATAGAATGAAAAAACTGAGAAAATTTAAGGGGTAGCAGATTGCCGCTAATTTTTCGAATTTTTGAACAAATTTCCTATCGAAAGTTATCAATATTTTTACAATTCGAAGCACATTAATCTACAGAAGGCGGTGATGAAGATCAATATCCTTTGGGTTCAAAAAACATTAATAATTTTGAGAAGGAAATGTTGTTTGAAAAGTTCGAGGAAATGGTGGCCTTCTCTTACCCTTGAAGCTAAGGAAATTCTATAGAAAATATCTCAATAAAATAAGTTGTGTAGAAAAATCGAATTCTATGGACTTTTTCTATAGAATATTTTATATTGAAAATTGTAATATAATCGGCCAAAACCAAATGCAAAGTTTAATAGAAATCTAATAGAATTATCTAGCGAATTCGCTGGGTTTTTCTACTAAATTTTTTCGTACGTAGCCCACGGAAATAATATAACTATTCTCGGGAATTAATCATTTTATCTTCTCTCACATTATCAATGAACTGGATTCATTTTTATTTGCGATTCTAAATGAAGAATTGACCACAGGAAGTAAAATCTAAAAAGATTGATTATAAGATTCTGGTTTTCCTCTAGCGACATTCCATAGATGAGGAAAATCAGAACGAAAGAATATTTCTTCGCATGAATATTAACTTCCACTTGATTTCAATCATGCCATTTCAAGGTCACACGGAATGACTCGAATTTTTCCTTTCGAAGAAAAAAAATATCCTTATTCTCGTTATCCCCTTCGTTTACCAAGTGTCAGTTGGGGTTGAAGGACATTGAATAATAAAATGCTCGAATAAAATTGTACCCTAGTCGGTCAGGTGTAAAGGACATTTCCAGAGGACAAATAGAATCGATAAAATGTCGACGAGGTCAATGCTCGCAAGATTCAAATGCGTAATAAAATTCTTCAATAATTCTCTTCACGTTTTTTTTTCTTTTCGTCAAAGCTACATCCCGCAATAGCTGAAAAATATAACACGCCTTCCATTTGCAAGTGATAAGCCATTCAAAACCATTCGGGAAGATAGACAGATAGATATGCGTTTTATTCCGTGAAAAAACGTCAAGCATTTGCGTGACTCATATCACGCCTATGGCTTCAATAGTCCGTGAGTATGCACAGAAAATTGCATGTCTTGCAAAAGTGAATTCACATTGTCAACACAAAATTTAATGAAAGCGAAGAACTCTCTCCAATTAGACCATTTAGAATTCATTAACAGACGATAATAAACTTGCAGTGAGACTACGAAACTCGATGATTACTCTCAGCATGAGTTGACCTCAACAAAATACACAATTCAATATCCACCAGACCCATAAACACGCAAAAGGAGTGATGATCGATTGTCCCTCACGCGAATTTTCTTTCATCCACGACAATAATAAATGTAACGATCTTATTGATCATCTGTTTTTTGTGACAGAAACTACATTACAAACATGAAAGTCGTTGCCCTCGTCTTGGTGATCGCCTCAGTCGCAGCCGCTCAGGTAAGTTGCTTATAGAGCTGCGGGATACCCCCGGTTTTCAACTGCGAGACCGAACACGCGCTACAGCGCGCTGTAATTGTAACACTCATAATTGAAAATCTCAAAATTAAATTAACTGTAAATTAAATTTGCCGCCTCAGACGACTGGAACCAATGAGGAATAAGCGTGACAGACTTGCGAGATATCGATAGTTATCGACTTTAAGTGTATGTTCTTTTTAGAATAGGACAGTAGACTCTCGCTAGTTGCTCATCGAAAGGGCTGTAGGGGCGCCCTTTCCAAGAAATGAGCAACTTTCCATCGGCCCCCACTCCGCAACCAATGCCGACCCAAGTTCTCAGAAAAATGAGCGGGAATGAATAGTTTTATTTTCGAATAAAATTATTTGGACCTCTGTGTTTACACACGGAGGACAAAAGAAAGTGATAAGGCGGCCGAGAGTGGGGCCAGCGTTCGAGTGTCCGAGAAGGGAATTAGGGGAAAACGAGCAACTAACGGGCGTGCAACTAGCGAGAGTCTACTGTATGTACCGACCAATCGCGAACTAGTGCGGCATTTTTTCTTTAATCGATTGAATATGATCAAGATTTTGATTGAATATGATCACTATTTTTTCAATATGGGGGGAGGGTCATTTTGGGAAACGACCCCTATGTACAGCGGCATCTATCGTAATTCTAGAAAATTCTAGACATTTCGAGATAATTAGAGAAGTTCCTTGAAATTTTGCAAAAATTCAAGGAGTTTCGATAATTCGAGGGAATTCAACGAGTTTCTACAAAATTCGAGAGAATTCAAGGAGTTTCTCGGAAATTTGAGAAAGAAGGAAAGAACGTGGACGTATCCACGTACAATTACAGCTGTATCGAAGGTACAGCCGTCTGCAATTTTTTCAATAAATTTAAAGGCCGGGAACCCTCTGCAATAAGACTATGGACTGTATTCCGCGAAATTCTCATTAACATTCAGTAATAATGACTCGATATATTTAAAAGAGATATGATATTTGAAATTTCTGCAAGAAAAAAATGTCACACAATACATTGTGACATTGGCAATAAATATTTAAGGATATCGAGAGATCGATTTCAATCTATTTTTATAATTGACTCAAACTTACATTTTTAACATCTCTGAATATTACGGACTTGAGTGAGAAAAAAAATAGACACTAGTAGGCGATTGGTCGGTCGGTCGGTCGATTTCCGAGCACTTCTGGGGGTGTCCCGTAGCTCTATTATTAAGAAACCAAAAAAGGCGTCCCAAAAAGGGAAGGATCTACTGACTTCTAATCATTTGCACTCTATTCAGGAAATTCATGCGGTGGTAAAGCTCCTGCCGCATAATTCATCATCAATAGCGACTGGAATGATCAAGTTCGTGCAGGCCAAGCCTAATGGACCTGTCACTGTGACTGGAAAAATCACTGGGTTGAAACCTGGTAAACATGGCTTCCACATTCATGAGAAGGGAGACCTCAGTAACAACTGCACAACATTTGGTGGACACTTCAATCCTGAGAATGTAAGTTGTTGCTCATTATTGCACAATCAAAGTCATTGACATCCTCATCTAATTCGTCTTACAGACCATTTGACTGTTTTGTTTTACTTTCACAGAAGACTCACGGAGCCCCAACAGACGCTATCAGACACGTTGGAGATCTGGGAAATATCGAAGCTAATGACCAAGGTGAAGCTAACGTCCACATCGTTGATAAAGTTATCTCCTTGAGTGGAGCTCACAGCATCATTGGACGTGGTGTCGTCGTTCACAGTGGCGTTGATGATTTGGGAAAGAATGAGGATGAAGGATCAAGAATCACTGGCAACGCTGGTGACCGTGTAGGATGCGGTGTTATCGGTATCATGTAGGTTGATGACAACCCCGACAAAATACCAAATGTCTCCCAAATTTTCCTTCCACTATTACCTTAATTATTAGCGGACGCTCTCTGTCCTATATCTCTTTATTCCTATCAAATGACAATAGTATTACTGCTGATGGAATTGTTTATGTGATATTAATTTTTTTGGAAATTGTTTTTTTTCGATCCTGTACAATTCCCTAAAACCTAAACGACGGCATTTATAATAGATTCAATCTGTCCAATAATGTTCTTGTTTTCACAAGTTTTCATCATTCATAGTAATGACTCACTGTACGCTTATAAGAATTATTTTTATTAAAGCTGAAAATAAATTGTGCTAGCAGCTTAGGAGGATTTTATTTGTTGCTATGTTGCTTTAAGGGTATCATGTATGTTCTTGAAAAATGACATCTTTCAATGTTCACTAAAAAAGTTAGTTTTTTTTCATTAATAGTATCAGATACATGGTGCAGATTTAAAAATTTTAGAGCTTATGGGTATCGAGAAATAAAATAAACAAAATAAGTCGTATACACGGGTTCTTATGGAGTTATGATTAAATTGCACATTTCACCTCCTAAAGGGTAAAAAAATTTGAAAAAATTTGGAGATATGAGGAATGATTCGCTTAATGTGATAGTGGCCGAAAACAATGGGGTACCGGAGTGAATAAGAAATATTTCACCCCCTGGCACTCATTTAACCCTCCATTACTCACGCTCGGTCGCCAGTCTTCATCCGTCGCACGGCTAGCGCAGCGCCGTTGGGTTAAGGTTGTTGTCCTGAGAAAATCATACTCGAAATTTTTCACGCTTTGGGCTGATATCCTGCTAAACGAAGAACCCGGGTTAAACGAAAAACTTTTGCTTATGTACAGTTCGACTCGGCTCATGCATACATGAATGTACTATACGTGAATATGTGCGCATGCAGCTAACGCCAAATGGCGTCGATTGTGGCAACCACGCACAGTGTGTCTCTCTGTTCGTGTGACTCCTAACCTGGCAGAAATCGTGGTTTGTTTTATTGAGTATGTTGCCACCTCTCGCGTACTCACCTCACTTGTCTCGCCCATTGGGGAAAAAAACTAATTTTCTGTAATGATTTTTCGAAAAAGAAATGGTCAATCAATTAAATTTTTTTTCGGTAGATTGATTGACACTATTTCTACACTGTTTTTTTCAATTAAAAATGTCGAGTTGTTTTTTGTAATTGAAAACGGTGAAACTACATTTAACAATGTGGAAAATTTTAAAAAATGTATCTCAAGTTTGAGATGGTTAATTGCAATTATAGTGGGCTTATTTTACAGCTAATTCTTAGAGTTATCTATGATAAACTTAAAAATAAATGTCGAAAATAGAAGTTACACGACGACAACCTTAAACCGAGCGCGCTGTTGCCACCTTGGCGCTTACTGCTATGCGCGCATTTCAAGTGTGACAGCGAATGTAGCAACACTGTCGCTCGAGGGGTCGACAGGGATTCACTTGCACCGAGCGGTGCGGCGCCGCATTTCTGTCCGTCCGACGTTTCTTTTCTTTCTTTAAGCTAAACAAATTTCGGGAGAAAAAAATGGGCAACGTCAACGCTTCGTAAAAGAATTGAACTAGAATCTCTAATTTTTTCAGAATTTTTAAGCGTAGAGAAATACGCTAAAACATTAAAAAACGAAAACGGGCGGCGCGGCGGTCATTGAGCGAGTGATCGAGGGTTAATCCCATGCTGCCTCGAGGTTCAGGGCGCGGCACAGACCATTTTTCGTATTGATTTTCTCGATATCTAGTTCCGGTTGCTGGTTTGAAATTTTGTCAGATGAGGTAATACATTTTTTTCTACTAGTGAAGGGAAAGCAATTTTTTCGCTTTGGCCGGCGCAAAGTATAGGGGGAAAATCTGACTGTGCCTCTACGCCCAGGCCAAAAACAAGGTTTACGTCACTTGGCCCGAAAAACCGCAATTCTAATCCCGATTTTCAGGTTTGCCAACATAAAATTTCGTTCGCCACTCGGCCAAAAACTTTTTTCTGACTCATGTGATCGTAGTCGTCACCTTCGACGCGTCACATTCGTCAGGTAGTAAATTCAGATACGAGCGCGTAAAAGTGCTCTTTGAGCCGTGGGAGGTGTGCAGCGCTCGCCGGAGGTCACACTAGTGTGAAACTCTATTTTTCATCATAATATGCGGCACGTAAAATTTTATGCACGATCCGCGTGCGCCAAATCTCACTTTACGCACAAGTGATGAAAACATACTTTTCGGGCCTTGTGATGAAAATTACTGTCTAATCACGGGAGGTAAACTAAAGGACCCTTAACCACGTTCTTACCACTTTCGCCTTTAGCTCGGGTGGTAATTCCCGTACTTTTCAGGCACTTTTTAAAACGGTTCAGTGTGCCTAAAGCGGTTGTTTTCCGCATGACGTGCGTAAAGTGAATTCTCGTACGTGAATTATTATGCGTAAAGTCAAAGAACGTGCGCACTCGAATTTCACTTTACGCACGCTCTTGAATTTTACGCATTCGTGCACAAAAACAATCACTTTACCGCCACTAGCTTTACAAACAGTGACCTCGGCAGGTACCACAAAAAATAGGATGTGTTACACGTGCGGGCGAAAAAGTGGATTCTTATGCACTAGCAACACAATATACTATTATTATCACACACGTTTGGCACCTTGTAATGTAAAGCTGCAGATTGACATTGAATAAACTATTTTTCTATGTAAAGGGCTTATGGCGTTCTAGACTATACTATTTATCATTTCCGATACTTTATGACTTGGTTACCATTGAGATATATAAGTATATATATCTTGATATTTCTGGATTGCATATTGTCATGTAGGAGATTTGGTAGCTGCGTGTGTTTTGGGATTAGTCCTTTTTGTTGTACCACCATTGTTTTCTATCCTGAACAGCTTTCGATCTATTGTCGATTTCTGCTCGCAGGTCACCAACGGGAAAACTGCCAGGCTCATCAGCTGCATCCATTTCTCATGCCATGGGCATGCTTCTAATGCCGGTAGTCGTTTACATTTTTGGTCGACAAGGCTGAATGAATCCTCTCATCTCAGACACATATCATCGTCATCAAGTGCATAGGCAAGATCCAAAGAAGATTAATTACTTAAGTTATGGATTTTTTGAACTTTCAGTATTTATAATAATCAACTTTGTCAATTTTTTGTAATTATTTAAATGTCTCAAGGGACACTAGTAATTTTATAAATGTATATGACTGCTTGTCACGGTGACTCTATGGTACTTAGTAATTGTACATATCTTACTATTCGTTTCGATCTTACTATGTGGAAATATTTTGAGTTTGTAGGGAATTATATTTTGGCGACTAAATAGTCTGTGAAAAATAAAGAGAAGGGAATAGTTCTAAATCATCCTTGTAACCTTTTTGTCTCATTTGTGTAAACTCTGTATAGCTTTTTACATGGGTCAAATAATCATAAATGTAATTTTCATTCTTCACAATGAAATATAGAATGAGCACTATTGGAAATTGAATTATCTGCTTTACAATCATCTGTTGAAAACACGGTATCATTTAATATTTTCCACTCAACGACCATCTGCCTATCACGGTAGAAACTCGGAAGGATTACCGTAAATGGGTGTACGTTGGGCGCGGTTGGGGTGGGTTGGATGGCTTTTAGCACGTTTTGTGTGTGTGGGGCCAATTTTTTCCTGTTCTATTTTTTCCACCTACAGATTTTTTGGCGCCGTAGTCTTGGCGCCAAATATTTGGCGTCTGCTTTTTTGGCCCTTATAGATTTTTTGACACCTTATGTCATCAATAACAAAATGTAAATATCTTTCGAAAAAAAAAACATTTTCATATTTCGCTGAAAAGAATTATTATATCAAATCCAATGATCGATTTTTCTGTTTTCCATATTTTTTTATATACTATACTTTTTATGCACCTATATTTATACACTCATGTATTTTCTCGTGGATGCAATTGCCTAACAGTTTCAACAAACTATTGCATCAATATGTTTCTCTATCAAATTCATTTTTTGTGACATTCATATATTTCACTCAAACGAATTATTATTTTTAAAAATTGACTTTTTTGTTTTCCATATTTTTTTTATATACTATACTTTCTATACACCTATGTTTCTTCACTCATGTATTTTTTCATGAACGCAATTGGTTCAAAGTTTCAACAAAATATTGTATCAATTTTTTTCTCTGTCAAATTGATTTTTTTCTTCACATTCGTCCAACACAACAGATAACAATATTTAAAGTCATAGACCACAATCAATTTACAAATTTTTGATTAATTTTTTCTATTGAATTTACACTTTCTATTTCCTTATTCCATCAGCGCAAGTAAAGTAGAGGTACACAATTCTCGGAATTTGATTCCCCTACAGTCCCTGTGGTATCTTATACGAAGATGAGACTGTACAGTAGACTCTCGATGTAGTCGCACTTGTGGGCCCGTAGGGGAACTCGATTCCGAGAACGCATCTGTGTATTTCCCTACTCCCACTATGCGGAACTACGGACGATAAAGGTAAAATAAGAAATACGAATTTTTTTTTACTATTTCGACAATTTTTTAAATTTCTATTCTTCTGATCATTTTAATTTGCATTTTAGTTGACTAATTGCTTTATTATTAACTAAATTTTTATCAATACATTTTTTTATCTATATGAATTATAATTTTTTAGTGCCAAATAGAGAATAATTTTTTGGGTTTCGCATTGAAAAATTCAATAATGAAATTTTTTGGATTAAAAATTTTGTCGATTTTATAATCTATAATTAGCCACTTTCTTCATTTTTCTTAAACATGGCATCGGGGAGGTACAAATGCCTAGTGGTGGGATGTGTACCCCCCTTTTTCCTATGGATTAGTCCTCTAGCGGTCAACTTTGTTTAAAAATTGACTGTACACTTTAATAAACACTCAAGCATACGGAAATATATAATTTACCTTCTCTCCATGACGGTCACGTGTGGACTGAATTCATTTTTTTACAAGTACTTTACGGTTTCGTGTTCGCGGAAATGCAAAATAACGCCGCATCTAAGAACACATTGAAGTGTTTACATTCAGGAGTCAAAGGTGGAAGGAGTGGGAGGAGCGCTCGAGCAACGAAAAATCGTAATAAGGGGAAACGCGACTGTAACGAGAGCGAGTCTAGTGTATATAATTGGTCCCTTCAAACTGATCGTGCTTCTCATATTTGTTGTTCGCCAGACAAACAAAAATTTTCTATCAGCTATCGGAATTTTAACTTAATACCTAAATAATATCTAAATAAGGGTTAATAATTGACTTTACTGATCATAATCAACTTTGGGGTGATAAGCTAAAGGATAATTATGACCGCTGAAGCTAAAGGATATTCACTCTATACAGTATGAGCAGCGACCTTGAGGGCTTAATAAAGCAAATGCTTGAGGCGTAGATGGGTTAGGCATCGAGTGTCCTATATGAAAGCTCATGGTGTTTCAGATCGACCTCAACCCACATACCAACGTAATCCTTCATTGCTCTTTAGAGACTGTGGTGTCTATGGTGATACAGTGACACACATTGTTATGAAGGAGGCAACCAATCAGCCACTACTGCCACCAATTCATTTTCGCATGGAAGTAAAATGGTCAATGATATCCTGAATCTATGCTCATGTGTGACCAATGAGGTGCTGGGCAGAACATTCTAGGAATTTCGATCGAAACCATACTAGCTTTTCTACTACATGGGGAGCTTGCGGTAGCATTAGGTGCGCGACTGTTGGAGCCGACGGTTCTCCGTCATTCGATCGCGGTTCCATTTCAGTCGCATTATTCGTAACTTCTTGATCATTGTTGATAAATATAAAGATCATCATGGAGACTTGTGGGATGAGTGTCATCAAATACATTCTGTTTATTTTTAATCTGATCTTTGCGGTAAGGAACGGAGAGTTGTTTCGCAAAAGAATTATGAAACGGAGTTTGCATATGGTGTTTTGTGTCTTTTGAAGATTTCCGGCGTTGCGATTATAGCAGCTGGAGGTATAGTCCTGGCAGATGTTGGGGAGTTCAGTCATTTTATGGACGGTAAGATTTTGGCTCCACCGGTGGTTCTGATTGTCGCAGGCGCTATTGTGTTTATTATTGCATTCTTGGGATGCTATGGGGCTATCAAGGAAAATTATACACTTCTCTTGGCGGTGAGTTCTTCGTTATTATTATTTCATCCTTTTTCATGACGAAGAGTTCGGAAAAAGGATGAAATCCTAAAACGAAAATCCTGAAACTTAGTTTTAGGATTTAAATTAATAAATCTTCCAATGATTTGGTGAAATATAAATTGAATGATTGCTAGTTTGCTGGAGCCCTGGTCATCATCTTCATCATCGAATTAGCAGTCGGAATCGCTGCAGCGGTGTTCCGAAATAACTTCTCAGAAGTTATGAAGGAATCACTGAGATATTCAATGAAGAACTATAGTCAGTCACAAGCAGACAAAGTAGCATGGGATGATGTACAAATGAAGGTAAGTGAAGTTTGAAAAAAAAAAACAAGGAAGAAATTGCTTTTATATTAATATAATCTAATTTTTTTATAATAAATAACAATAACAATTTGCTTTGAATGGTCATTTTGCATATCAATCGCTTCTATATACTATAGACATAATATAATTCATTATTTCATATTATTTTAGGAAACCTCAAGTGAGGTTTTTCGGGGTGGGAAGGGAGCGAATCGTAAAAACCCGAGAGGGTATACAAATGAACAAAAAAATTTTATTTGATGAAATTTCAAATATGAAATAATATATATCTATAAAGCGGAAAAAATCAGAAGAGAGAAGTGGGAGAGGCAAGGCAGACGAATGGGGAGCCTACACGGAGAAAAAAATTCCAGAATTTTTCAGGCGAAATTCAGGCAAAAATTACCGTGCCGTCTGGTAAAGTGGGTTCAATTGTCTAGCACCAGAAAAATTCCGGTGCTGCATAGTAAAAATTCCGGTAACGCACAATAAAAGCTTGATCCCTGACTGTTTTCTATTACATGATAAATTTCATTCAATAGTTAAAAATGAGTAAACATTGTCATTCAGCATATCATCCTATTAATTTTATTTTAACCTCTCCTCCATATCCTCTCTCCCATATTAAAAGCGGAATGCGCGGCAAACGTATGTGGAACGTTTGACAGGCCAATGTATATCTACAGCGTTATACACCTCATGAAGCGAAAATAAAGGGCACTTATTTTATTTCTTAACCGTTTTATCACAACACTAATTAATATTTCACTGAATTGATATTATGAAAAACATTAACCTGGGGTTTCAGTAAGGAGATATGTGAGAGAGGAGGCTAGAGGAGGCGACGGAATAAATCATCTGGTCACGTTGAGTCGATGTTCGTGGTTGCGGAGGGGGGACGAAGAGTACCGAAATCTTACGAATGCGCGATCGGGTCCTAGGATTCTGGTAGAGCACCGGAAAAATTTGCCAGTCAGTGTCATAATTTTTCTCGTATTTCTCGTAAAAATTCACTGTCGCTTCGATTTTACCGTGCTGCACAAGAATTTTTCCCCACATTTATCCGAAAAATGACTCGTGCAACAGTACTTTTTCCTACTCTTTGCGGTACATTTGGCCTGGAAAGACCATCTGAACCAACTTTACTGTGCGGGCACGGTAATTTTTCTCGTACATTTCTCTCCGTGTATAAAACCGTAATGGTAGTAGGAAAGAAATATGAATAAAAAAAAAAATAAAATATATATCTATAACATCTGTTTATTCGATGAAGAGGAACCTGAAGTATGTCGTTTTAATGATAATTGAGACAATTTTAACATTCCCGAATTTTATTTGGAATTGATGTAGAATTAATATTTGAAACGTAAAAATACGAAGGTTGACGACCATGTCTGCTGAAGTAATTTCCAAAAAGCTGGAATTTTGTCAGATTATAGGTCTTAATGAGGACTAACTCCGTGCAAAATTGCAGCCCAATCGATCTAATAGTGTTTGAGAAGAAGCGATTTGTTTTTAAATCGTTTTCCACAAATATCTTCCAAACTAGTGCAGTCGAGACGAGTATTTTGAAAAAAAAAAATTGAAATCCGCCAAGTAGTGCATGAGATATTTGAAGAAATATATTTACGTAGAAGGTTGCATATTTCAGGAAGCGCTCGGTCGATTGGGCCTATCCAAAATACCAACCTTTAGTATTATGAGAGGTAGAACCATACCAAATTTCAACTTGCTATCTCCGTTTTTTCACAATTTATCGTGCGGACAAGATTTTTCATGAAAAACGGAAAAACCGCAGTATTTCCGAACTGTGTATTAAAGAGTCTATATATTTTGATTGACTTACGTACAGGCTATCGAGACGAGTATTTTTGAAAAAAAAATTGAAATCGGTGCAGTAGTTTTTGAGATCATGAGGAAAAACGAAATTTAAACAAGTTGTTATATGTCAGGAGCTACTGAACCGATCGGGCTGAAACAGCGCGTTAAAGTTTAGCTCAATAATAACTACAATGAGCCGAAATTTCAGATATTTATCTACAAATTTCACCGTATTTATGTTGAATTTTCTAATAATTAATCACCAAAAACGCAAGTTATCGGATCCATACACGCAGACGTGATCGTAAAAACATCATGTCGTCACGTTTCATAATATTTTAGACCATTTGCAATCAAAATTAGAAAATCGAAAAATCGATCAAAAACAAAGCTTTCATTCGGAAGCAAAAATATGAAAACGGTCAAAGTAGGTTAAAAGCCACATTTGATAGGGGATCTCGGAGCGCGTGAGTGCACGGTCTCTGGGCTTTGCTGATGGCGATGATATTCCTTGCACATATTGTGTCGTGCAGAATCGATTTTGTGGTTGTTTCGGTTGAGAAAATACAAAAATTTATTGCGACTTTTCTGTTTTCTCTTTAACAATTCATCATCAACGTGTTATTAAACTCATTGTCAATTTACTATATATTTTTTGTTATATAATAATTCATTGTTCACATAGTTCACATAGCAAAATATTCTGTTTACACGGAAAGAAATATTCAGTAAAAATTACGGAATAATTCACGTAATCCGCAATGCGAAATCATTTTCCAACAATTTTTATAGAAATGGAGGAGAAGAAATCTGAAAGGTTCAGGGAATTTTCCGGTTCATTACCGAACAAAGTTCGAAATTGTCCCGTAATTTTTCCCAAAGAAGTAAAATCGTACAAAAACTTCCCGACTTATTATGCTTCGTTCAACAATTTTTATAAAGCTGGTGAGTTATTTCTACGTTCCGTTGAGTAAAATTTTTCAATCGTTGAGGAAAAATTACGGAACGACTTGTTGTCCCCACAGCGGTGAGTCATCAGACGGGTGGTTAATAATTACGGAACAAATAATAGAATTTACGTGGCGATTCGTACAATTTCAATTCCGACTCACACTTTTTATTGTATTTTACTTCGCTCGCAGATTACGTTTTGAAATGTAATTGTGGTAATGTTTTTTGTGGTAATTTTTATTGAATTTTCTCTTCGTATATTTCAGCTCAAATGCTGTGGTATCGAGTCAGAAAGAGATTGGATTGAAGCTGGCGTTCTAGAACGAGGAAGTCTACCCTTTTCATGTTGTAGAGGGGCTGATGAAACAACTCAGTGTCTTGAATCGACCGTGGAAGTTTACAGCGAAGGTTGCTACTTACAATTGAAGATGAGGGTAGAGAAAAATGCTCGCGTCCTGATTGGCGTCGGTATCGGAATCGCTTTTGTTGAGGTATTTATTTTTCTTTCCTTTTAGCATCGATTTGGCATACAACTGCAGGACCTTATCCAGCGACATCATAATAAAATGAATTTTACGCTATACATTCTGTTTTTGTGATAGGTCGCTGGTATCGTGCTCGCATGCTGTCTCGCGATGGCGGTAAAAAAAGAGGGGGAAAAATGAGAGGAGGAGTAATTCGTTTTTTCTACTGAAAAAGCGAATTACTCAAATATTGAATGTGAAAACTACTTAACAAGAAGGTAAACTTTATTGGTAACACTCACGAAAAATATATCTACATACAATTATTTTTTAAATATTACCAACCATCATCTAACAAAAAAAATCTTCCACGGTGCAACAATTAACAATGAATATCAAATCTATTTAACATTTAGTGCAACCTGACAAGATGATTTAGAATGAGATTAGTATTGTGATAGTTAAGAAGCAGAATAAATATACCGCTTGCATATGAACTTCTAATACAGACATCTAGTGCTTTAATGATGATGTGCAATTTTATGGAGTGTATGTAATATAAATACTTGAATAATAATTTAATAATGAGTGCGAAGAATCGTGGTGATTTGCATTAATTTACGATTCAGATCTACTGGGGAGATTCTTTATCAAGAGTATCTGGAAGAGTCGTAGACATGGGGTGTGTGTTTTCCTTGCTTATTGTTGGTGAAACTGATTCTGAAATGATTAAATGAACTGGGATTAATTATTTTCGAGCGAATGTAATCCATTGTTTAGCGGCTAAAATTTAAACTTTTGCCTGACAGTAACCCCCCCACTCTTCACCATTTTGAGGTAGTGGGCGTGCACAGCTGGGCCTTTCTTATGGCACTCTAATACATTGAAGGACTTCCTACTCTTTTCACACCGATACGTTTCGTGATTCCATTTCGAAACGAAAGTGTCATTCAAGATAAACATATTTGAGGCATACAATTGTACACTGAGAACAAAAATTTCTAACATTTGGAACATATTTACTCGAGACAAGTAATTTTTCTTCAATCGCTGAAGATACTTCCTCAGTCAGTTATATGGGAACAGTCGACAATGTACAAACAAGTGGATAATCGCATTTGCTGTATATGGGTATAGTTTATGTTGCTAACAAATTAGCGATGCTTCCGAATGGATTCTCTATTTTTGAAATTTATTACTCTTATTTTTTATTGTTTTGAATAGTGACACCCATATGACTCCGTTATGATCCCTATATTACTCTTTATGAGCCTATATGACCCTTGTATTGCCACATATGACCTCCATATGACTCCCGTATAACCCCATGCGATTCTCATATGAACCCATATGAACCCCATATGACCCTGTATCATCTCATATGAGCCCATTATGACACCATATGACCTCAGATAACTTCCAAATGACCTCATATAACCCCCATATGACCCCGTACAACTTTTACATGACCCCATATAACGCATATATGACCCCCATATAACCTCCATATGACCTAAAGCTTCATATTGCTACTATGCAACTTAATAAATAGTTATGCTGTTTTCATCATCTTTGCACTTCATCGAGAAAGCATCAAAACAATCTATTTAGAGCCTTGATTTCATTAATATGACTGTCAATTTTTCTAATTTATCATGAAAAAAATGAAAAAAAAATCTCACAAGCTATATGCTGTAGCTCAACAGTGATAGATGCGATCCACATCATATTCTGATAGAATTAAGAGGCTATCAATACAAATTTTTTAAGCCATGATTCATTTCATTCTGATAATAATTCTTGGGCTGAGCGTCGAAAAATCAATTTTTAAAAAAATTCCAATATTTCACAAACTATGAATAATTCAACTTTAATTGGTGTCGATGAATAGAGCCTATTAACGTCTATATCCATGGAAAAATTCATGAAATTTCATCAAACTCTTATAAAGAAAATTGCGAAAAAAAAATTGAAAAAAAGCATACACGCAGACATACATACATACATACATACAGACACCATCTAAAAATCGCATATTTATACTTTTTAGATCATATTTAGTTACCCTGACACAAAAATTTGGAAACTTAATTTTGAACGATTACAAAGCTTTCATTCGGAAGCAAAAATGTGAAATTTTGAGGAAAAATTCTTGAAATAGCCAGAAATATGTCACATAAAGTCTGAACACAATTGACTGCTCAGTTTTTTGTACAAAAAAAAATCCAAGTCCATGTTTAATGACAGTCGGTAAAGTGAATTCCGTACTTACCGATTTAGTTTCCCTATACGCCAACAGATGGCGTTAGTAAATATCTACCTATGCACAAAATGCCCCTCAAAACGAAAACATAGACGTATCCACGTCAAAATGATTAAAAATATCGTTTGTACAGCGTCTTACGAGAGTCCCTTTCCAATGTTCAGTATGAGCATCGACAATGTACAAGCAATGCAAATACCCGATTGACATCATCGAACACATTCCTAGAATATATCTCTGCAATTTCATAATTTATTGCTGCATATATTTTGAGAAATCATTGAAAATGTATAACAGGATCACGAATTTTCGTTAAACTAGAAAAACAAATCGGCATCTTTGATGTTTAGCCCCACTCTATACTGCAAAATTATACTGAGGAAGTATCTCAATTCTCCAAAGTATCTCAATTCACGTGGTCCGAAAACGATATCATGCTTTAAAATATTCTTGTACTCAAGTCTGATTTTGTCACAAATGACCTCACTTAAATCGCGAAGAAGAATCGTCAGTTCAAGTATTTATTGTTTTCATGATTTTTTTTTATTCACTTCCAATATTTCGATATAACGCGGAACTTAAGTCACTGAAAATAATCAACTTCTCTCAAGTAAATATGGTCTACATCGAAAGGCTGGTCACTTCTTAATGAGATGGCTCAATGCTTTCCAGAATTGACTGATTTTCTGTGATTTCTTGAATGATTTCGGTGATTTCTCGATAAGAATGAGGAATCATGATTTCTTGATTTCAAGAAATCACTCGAATAATTATGATTTCAGAGCCAAAGTGGAGCATCTGTCGATAGTCGCGCATGAGTAAGATTCGGGGAACCGAAGAGTTTATATAGAAGGGCCTTATGAATGTGATAGTAAGAATGGTATGATTACGATTTCTTTGGCGCCACGATTTAACTTATGGTTTCCGTACCATTTTTCCCCAGAATTACGGGAGAAAGAATGAAAAAATTCACTCCATTATTTCTCCTGAATTATAGAGATTCTTCAACGAAGACGGAGGTTTATATATATATAGCGCTATAGCGTTCCACATTTTGTGGCGCCACTGGATATTGCTGGATAGGAGTATAGAATAGGTATGAGGCGAACCAGAATAATTCTCAATATTAGTTGACAAGACAAATTTACCGAAAAAATTCGAAAGTCCAGACTGAGATTTGAACCCGGCAACTTTCGATTATGTATCAGGTGCTCGCCCAACTTACGGTGATGTCACAAAGGTCATAAAAAAGGAGTTACTAAGGTCACGAAGTCACAAGGGTAACATAAAAAAAAAGAACTCGATAGGGTCACGGGGGTCACAAAGGTGACACTGCCTCGGTTGAATGCATTTTGTACTGAAAATTTTTTTGTTGCTGATTTTGTTGGCTGAATTTTTGCGATTGTTGTTGCAATTTCTTTTAGAAAAAAATTCAATCAAAGAATCTCCAACAAAAAAATTTCCATTAAAATAGAGTTTTGTGGTTTTGATGGTAAGTATAATCATTGAATTCAAATGTGGGAATGTGACTGCATGAATTGGTATGTCAAATACCTATACGAAGCTTTATGGAAATGTTCGTGGTTTGAAAAATGAGGATTGAAATGCTTATATCCCAGAAACTAATGGAGGGACTTTTTAATTTTCCCCGTATACCTGAGGAAAAATGGTGCGGAAAATGTATGTCAAATAGCGGCGCCAAAGGAATCGTAATCTTCCCGTAAGAATCAAATGACATGTGCATAAGAAGGTCATGAGGGTCAGAAGGGATTGTATGAGTGAGCTTGAATAAGAAATATGGGTTTCACTTTCATCGATGATTTCTAATTATTTCGGAAATCACCTGAATTCTTTTGATTTCTACTGATTTCCGGTGATTTCCCGAAGTCATTAGAAATATCACTACCGGACATGGAAATCACTGAATTTCCAGTGATTTCTGGTGATTTTTCCCTTGATTTTCCATCGACTGGTCCAGTGATTTCTTCAGTGACCAGCCCCTCGGTTCTTTCTATCAACTGTTTTTACCACGTAGAACATTCACGAAATTTACCGTAGAAATTTGAGAAATGCAGACAGGATTTCTATAGAATCCCGATTGAATTCTTTTCCGAAGACGTAAGGATTTCGTTTCTCTTCATATATGCACCAACCAAATTTGAAAGATGATAAAATACTAGCGTCGACATACTGAATATTCTCTTACCTTCGGCTGTCAAAGCGATATTGCGGTGGTCGATGGAGATAATCCTCATGTGGGCTCCTATAGGCAAAAATAATGGGTCTCTCAATGGGACGTCTGACATAAACTGGCTCCAAAGGCTCATCCGCTGTTCCTCCTGGACTTGTTATCGTAATACTTGGCGTTGCATTCTGTCCCAGAGGATTGTGAACTCGCGGTAGTTGGATCGAATCTCTCGCACTATTATCGTTTTCGCCCTTCCTTTCTCGCCTCAAGCAAGCCACGAGAAAGATGGAACTGATGATGGAGCAAATCTGGATAAAAAAATCGAACTATTACCGAGGATAGTGCAATAAACCGGAAGATTTGCCATTAGTCACAAGCCGTTTACGATTCGCACGATTTTATCTTATCGTTCGGCTTTATCAGAATGAATGAGCCGATTAATTTGTAAGGATAAAATATACTGTACAATGTGGGGTAATCGCACTGAACTCGAATTGACTTTTTATAAATTATAATCAATGTTTGTCTTGTAATTTTATTGTTATCCATTTCGTCTTGGATGGTATCTTACCTCGATTATGGCGAGACCAACAAGGACAACAAAAATCATTGTTACGGAGTATTCAACAATGTCTTTCAGGGCCGTGTAGCAGCCAGCTAAATGAAGTTTCGATACTTCTGAAGTATCGCAGAAGGCCGGCGATTGGCAACAGGAACCGGGGATGTAGTCCAGAAATTCGGCCCAATCGGTGAAATCCTTGAGACCACAGCATGATAACTATAAACATATTCCCATATATAATTATTTATGACAAATTAATTATCCCTCTATACTCGTAACGAAACGTGTTCGAATTTTCCATTTTTTCTTCCAAACGGAAACATTGTAATCGTTTAAATTTAATTTAGATTAAATTGGGGGATTCACCGCCGTGTGCGGTGAATCCATAGATCTGCATCAGTCATTCCTTTAGTAATATTATGAGAAGCTGCACCTTACAATAATTAAGATTTACTTATCTTCATTGAAATTTGAAAAATAATATAATAATTGGTATTTTAAATTTCTCAATTATTGGTTGATCAAATAATTCGGAATTTGAATATTTAAGTTGATGATGGATAAAATAATTCAAAATTTAAATACTTAAATTGATGGTTAACTTAATAATCAAAAAATTGGCGAGTAATACTAGTAATTGACTTATTCAAAATTTAACTGTAATTAAAAAATAAGATTAAGCCGATGTCCGGGTGAATGCCTCATGAGGTGACCAACTTGCAGGGTCACGCTTCTTCTTCTTCTGATCGTGTTGATTCTCTTACTGTAGTAGAGGCAAGCACCATTTCTCCTCCAGGGTCACGCTTGGTGATCAAACGAAGGTTAAAGTAGCTCAACCCTTACGGCTCGAGTCATTGAATGGTTTCACAAAGAAGAAATTCTAAAAATGATTGTTTTTATGTCCAAATTATCAAAATGAATTATTCAGGTCAGGAACATAAGAATTATGTCATTCTCTAATTGTTCAAACTAAATGTATGAATAAACAGTTGTTGAATTGACTAATTTAAAAATACTCGTGACAACACTGTACGACCATATGAGAGGTAGGAGACGTTGTTGTCATGGCTATTTTTCAGTCTTCGGTGATTCTGGACGAATATTGTTAATGAAAAAACAAACTGAACGATAAATCATGATTAAACAACTCTTAATATTTGTGATAATTGTTTCACATTTTTAGTAAAAAATCAGATCGGAGGTATGCAACATTCGGCGATTTTCACATAAAACCCTGAGTCAAGTTATAGTTTTTAAACATTATTATTTACAACACCGACAACGGTAATTGAATGGCGAAAAAAATTACCATTTCGAATTTCATCGATTTTACGAGTAATTGTTCATAGTTTTTAAAAAATATTTTAATTGATTATTTTTCTTAATCGGATTTCGACCAATCAGAGCGGAGTATTTGAGACTACTATTAATATTTTCGCAGTAGCTCTTCATTTTCTTGGCTCATTTCAGATTGAATCTTGCTTTTGACAGTCTATGGAAATCGGGTTACTCTATTAACATAATTTGTTCAAATCTTCCCTAATTTACCTCCTGATGTTGTCCACTGCACTCTGATTGGCCAACATCCGATTGAGAAAAATAATCCGACAAATACCCAAGCTTCAAAATTAATCGGGTATTTCCCTTAAGCTCCCCTGCAAATAAAGGATCGTGCCAAGTTTTGCAGAAAAATCCATCGCACAAGCGCTCGGGATATTTTAAATTACAAAACTTGACACCCTTATTTGTCTGCAACGAAGCTATCGGGAAATACCCGATAATTTAATAATAATTACTACTGAAAAATAACTTCCTAAGGGTAGAGCTACGTTAAGGTTCCAAGTCTTTGTGGTAGGTTAGTGAATTCAGATGATGTTCATATGTATGTATACACAGAGTGAAAAGTTGGATAAAAATTACCTAGAAAATCGTGGCGAATTTTACTGTACGAAAAGCGATCGTGGAGCGAAATGCAATTCAATGAACAAATACCTGTTTGTGGAGACTATTTTACGATCCGTTCAGTAAAAAAACACATCTAGGAATGTAAAAATTATCCTACTGTACAGTAAAATTTTGCACACCGGACGACTGGAAGTGAAATTTTACCAAACGCGTAGGATAAAGCATCATTCCCTACTGTAGAAAAATTATGTGGAATATTGAGCAGTTATTCACGTCAACTGCAAATTAAAACCTATAATTTGTCAAAATTTCAGATTTCTTGGAATTACCTTAGGCCCTGTGACGTATTGGGATCGACCAATACGTCGATTTAGCTGTAATAATTTTAAATCTTCTAGTGTCTGAATGTTGGGAACGAGAAATATGATTTCTCTTTCCTGTCATCCAGACACTGGTCAGCAATTCCGCGGTGTCATTTGGGCATCTTGGTGAGCAGTCCCACGGTTAGGCAGAGTCCAGTTCAGGTGTACTGAATTGTTTGACTGTTTTAGTTCATGTCAATGACGACATAAAGTAGTATTGGTAAAGCTAACCGTGAGATTGCTTAACGCAGCAAGCTGGGGCTTTGACGAGTTTCGAGGACTCTGAAAGAGGCAGAGTACGATCAGGAGCTAAACAGAGCGGATCTCTGAGCTCCGGCCTTAAGCCACACAAGAGTCAAAGTCCCAAGGTGAGTCCCCTTAGAACCGCGTATACCAACCCGAGTAGAACCAATAGCGTGTACCATTATCGGTTTCACTATATCGTCCTTTTAACTTAAGGGTGCCAAGTGAATTTGAAAAAAGATTTTTAAAAATTTTTTTCTTTCCCTCCATCATTGGAGAAATATGTATTCATCCATCCGACGAAATTTCAAACCCGCAACCGGAACTAGACATCGAGAAAATAAATGCGGAAAATCCTCTATTTCGCGTGACGAACCTCGAGAAAGCATGGGATCAAATGGGTACGGCGGGTTGAAATATCTCTCTTATTTACCCCGGTACCCCATTGTTTTTTGTCGCCATCACATTGACCACATCATTCCCCACATCTTCAAATTTTTTCAAATTTTTCTTGAGTTCCTAGGGGGTTGCAACGTTCAATTTAATCAAAACTCCATAAGAGGCCGTGTATAAGACTGATTTTGTTTATTTAATTTCTCGATATCCATAAGTTCTAAAATTTTAAAATTGTCACCGATGTTCACCATCTGTCTAATACTATTAATTAAAAAAATTATAACTTTGTTGGTGAATGTCAATTTTCAAGGTCATCGCCAAATTCACTTGGCACCCTTAAGTACGCGAGTGGTTATTGAGAACTTCTCCCTTCATTTCCTTCAACATCCCTCCGAGTGAGCGGATCCCCCGTGAGCTCACCGCCGAAGATAGTCGGGGTCGGAGTGACAACCAAAGAAAATACAAAGAATTATAGTGAGAAAGAACTTTCAGTGAGTTTTACCTCCGGGTAAACCCGAGTGGAAATGCCGGTCAGGTCTTGATCAACTTTGGATCAGGTTAGACCTGACCACTGATCAGGTATTGATCAAGTTGACGGATTCGGTCTTGATCAGATATGTTACGCCTCTGACCAATCCGGATTTGATCAGGACGAATGGATCCGAACTTGATCAAGTCAAGTGTATGAAAACCGGATGACCTGTCAGTCAGTATCAATAACAATTATCAATGATAATTAATCCAAAACAAAAGATAATTCAATTCTTTCACCGTAGGCCGCCTCTCTTAATGAATCTCTACTGTCATTACCTCTGAAAAAGCTTATTATTTTTTTACCGATGCTGGAGATCGAACCGGGGACCCTATGATTACTAATCCTATGCCCTAACCACTACGCTATCGCGCTATTACTATTGAGTAACCTGTATATTGCCTGTATGATTTGTATCGGGGTATTCGTTGAATTTACGATTATTCCTGATCTCGCGGATGTACGTGTGTATTCTCAGAGATAAAATATGTTCAATTAAATTTTTATTTATTTCATTAATGAATAATAATAATGATAATAACAATAACACTAATGAATAAATAGACATTTGGTGATTTTTTTTCTCAAGATCATTTACGTGTAAGTTTGATACTCCTCTAATACGTATTTACGGCATCATCATCCCTCCCTTCTGTACATTTGAGAAGGGCTGGTTGTTCATTAAATTGATTAATTCAATTTAATTCATTAAATTAAATTAATTTAATTTAATTTAATTTATTTCAATTATAGTATAATGATCCTTTTTAAAGATTGAAAATAATTATTGATAATGGTTGATAAAACTTAATTTGAATAGTATAATAATAGTTAATTAAATTATTTGATAAACTTATTGAAATTAATGTCAGGTGGACTGGATCAGAATCTGATCATTTTCTCTTCAATTGAAACCGTTCAAATGTCGATCAAAGACATCAAATCCGAATTTGCTCAAATTGGGGTCAGGCAGCCGACCTCAGGGTGAGATCGTGCCTACCTGATCAGAACTTGATCTGAATCATCCTGCAGTTTTTCGGATCCGATCTACTGGATCAAAACTTGGTCAGGTTCTCATCAGGCATCATCTGATCATGTCTACCTGATCAGAACTTGATCTGAATCCGCCTGTAGTTTTTCGGATCCGAGCTGCTGGATCAAAACTTGGTCAGGTTCTCACCAGGAATCACCGGATCAGTTGAACCTTACAAAAACCTGATCAAGTTCTGATCGTGCTTCAGGTGGGCTTGAAGCAATTTCCACTCGGGAAAACTCCAAACGTCACATCCCTTAAGGATAATCGGGCGTGGAGTAGGATATTCAAAAAATGCAATTTTATGAAGTTTTTTTCACACATTATTGAAGCCATTTATTCACCGTTTGCAAGATTTGAGAAATTCCAGAAGGAGGGCAACAACAAAAATGATTTTTTCGTCATTCAGGCCCGTTAGGTAGCGCCTACTATAGCTGTCTTGAGGGAAGCTAAATGGCGTTTAACAGACCAGGTCCGTTAAACGAAGCACAGGTATGGTTAACTCGAGTTAGCAGCCCTAGGACAATAAAAACATACAGTTTCTAGATGGGCAACCCACAAAACCTTCGTAGGAATACAACATGAAGTGTGCGGTTATCGCTGTCACTTGCTTGAAAACTCGGCGGATCGTTCACCACTAATACGATGCGCCACCGTCATTGCCGATGACATCAGGAGTTGTTATTCCGTTGCTAGGGAGTCAGTCGTAACTTGAGGGTTATATTGTCAAAATATTAGTTTAATAAAGAGATTATATTCACTTTCTCGTTATATATCTATTTTGAATAGATTATATATATATTTCTATTAAAATGTGATGAAAAATTTGAGTATGTTGTGAGAAGAAGAGGAACGATGAAAAAGAAAAGTTGTAAACTGTAGATGTTCACACGTTGATTTTCTCATGAGAATAAATTTAGAAAAATGATTAATCCTTCTTTTTATTCTTTCAATTTGTTGCAATTTCCATTTCAGGAGGAGGAAGATTTCCATTCTCATCTAGATGTTTTTTGAATGTTTTTGACAGACTCCGTGAATTACAACTTTTGCATTCGTTCTTTCGAATCTCAATTTAGGATTTTGCATCTCTTTTTCTTCAATATTTTCTCTTCACTTGTCATTTCGTTTTTCTACAGTGGGGGGGGCTTCGCCCTCCGCAACCTCCCCCCACCGGGGCCTGCGGCCCCTGGGCCCCGCTTCTGCGCCCCCTCCCCTTCCCCTCCCCCTCACCTTCAACGGGCCTTCATGACAAAAAATAGTATGTGTCATACGGACCGTGACGTCGGTTTCTCCGTCTACGGTCCTAATGACACAATATCCTATTAAAGCTGTTGCTTATACATAAGGTTAAAGGAAGCATCGATAACTCGAGCATTTCCTTTACATTATCGTCCAGTCGGCAATGTGGAAGAAATACTGAAATTATCGATCCATTTAACCTCATGTATAAGCAGCAACTTTGAAAATCATTTTCGTTGTTGCCCTGCTTCTAGGATTTCTCAAATTTTGCAAACGATGTCTAAATGGATGATGTGTGAAAAAATCTTCATAAAATTGGCTGCATTTTTTAGTCACATACAGACATGGTCGTCAAACTTCGTATTTTTACATTTGAGACCATTCTCTACAATTTCCAATAAAAATTAGAGAATGTCAAAATTAGACGCTTATAATGCTTCCATTCGCAAGTAAAAAAACAAGTTGATCATTGCATTTTCTGTATATGAGTATAGTTTATGTTGCTAATAAATTAGCAATATGCTTCCGAATGGATTCCCTATTTTTGAAATTTATTACTCTTATTTTTTGTTTTGAATAGTGACACCCATGACTCCCTTATGATCCCTATATAACCCTTTTATGAGCCTATATGACCCTCATATTGCCACATATGATCTCCACATGACTCCCGTATAATCCCATGCGATCCTCATATGACCTCAGATAACTTCCAAATGACCTCATAACCCCCTTATGACCCCGAAAACTTTTATCTGACCCTATATAACTCATAGATGACTCCTATATGACCTCCATATGACCTAAAGCTTCATATTGCTACAAATGCAACTTAATAAATTGTTATGCTGTTTTCATCATCTTTGCACTTCATCAAGAAAACATCAAAACAATCTTTTTGAACCATTGATATGATACATTTTGATATCATTGATATGACTGTTGATTTTTTCAGTTGATAATGAAAAAATTTTTTTTAAAAATCTCACAAACTATATGCTGTAGCTCAATAGTGATAGATGCAATCCGCCTCATATTCTGATAAAATCAAGAGGCTATCAATGCACATTTTTTAAGCCATGATTCATTTCATTCTGATAACAATTCTTGGACTGAGCGTCGAAAAATCGATTTTTTTAAAAATACCAATATTGCACAAATTCTATGAATAATTCAACTTTAATTGGTGTCGATGAATAGACCCTGTTAACGTCTATATCCATGGAAAAATTCATGAAATTTCATCAAGCTCCTATAAAGAAAATTGCAAAAAAAAATTGAAAAAAAGTACACACACATACATACATACATACATGCATACATACAGACATAATCTAAAAATTGCGTATTTAGACTTTTTAAAACATATGACACAAAAATTTGGAAACTTAATTTTGAACGATTACAAAGCTTCCATTCGGAAGCACTATCAAAGTTTCACCTGAATTTGTAGATTATCAACTATTTTTTTATTGGATTCATAGTTGGCCATATCCGTTTTTAAGCTGAAATGCATCCTTTCATCGACCGATGATGATAAAAAGTATGCTGTTGTTGCGAGCGCAATCATTGAGATCAACAAATACACAATGAACAGTGTGAACTGAAAAAATGTATCCCAATTTAACGAAAAGAAATGATTGAAAATTTTTGGCAATCTTATTGATTAATTGAAAAAGTAGAAATCAATAATTGTAAATAGTTACAGTAACGATCCCTCGAATCCATTCTTGCCAAACAGAGATAATCCCCACAAATGACACAGCAACTGCCAATGCGGATCCAACGAGTAGAAAAAGCACCGGTTTTGATGAATAATCATATAAATAAGGCAAATACGTGGAAAGTTTAGGTTTCATTAGACATGTGAAAACGAATATGTAGATTGCGGCGCTCTAAAATGCACAAAATTTTCAATTATTCTACTACCGCTGGTCACTATTTAATAGAAATGAAAAAATATATAATGAATATAGCTCACGAGTATTATTAATGAAAGGAATATGTGAAACCACTTGAGAAACGACTTCGCTGTATTTTTCTTCATTATATCACCATGCGGACTCACAACAACCTAAACTCTTTGTTTGGATTGACTCCGGACGGATTCACGGGTAAATCACAAATAACATATCATTCGAAGTCTTTCTTTCCCTCTTCCTATCTATTTTGTACCATGTGATTTTACAGGAATGTATTGTTTCCTTTGCTTATCTCACTCGTCCAAGAAATACCCTGAATACTATCAATTTGATCATCAATGATTCATTGAGCATCGAAGTATGATTTAAAAAATTGCATCAATAATTATCTCTATATTGAGTTGTCAATCCATCGTATTGCAATCATTATTGTAATAAAAAATTAATAATTCCTCAATTAGCAACAACAAATACGATTTCTACCGACCTTCAATGTCTGCAATCAATATAATACCGATGGAGAGTAGGTTACCAATAGTCGGGGTTGAGTTAATCGGACTATTAAGGTAATTTTCTGCACGGAGAGAAATTTTTGATAAAAATTATCCTACCGTTCTATAAAAGTGTATCATGAGTCGTCGTTTCCTCATTTTTATCCCGACATTTAGTAAAAATTAATATATGATGATCAAATTTTATTCGTTTGAGCAATTTTATCCTGACGCATAATAAATTTTACCCTTCCAGTCCAATAATTTTTATGTAGATAACAACGAAAATTCTAGAACGGTTGGTAAATTGTACCCTACCGGTACAGTAATTTTTACTCTGCCGGCACGATAATTTTTATCATTACAATGCATGTGAAGTGGGGTTTGGCATTTGTGATGCGTACATCGTTTTCGGTTTCCACGGATTAAGCTTTACAGATTACCCAAATGATCAAATGTATTTACGATACTGTTACACGTACATTACGGCGTGTTAATCATAGCCCGACAATGATGTATACGTAGCGCACCCCTAAAACAGTATAGTAACGGTCCGTGTGCTGCAATACGCAGTTCAGTGATAGTATTGTCGAGGCGCTGATCACTACTCAATCGGGTGGCTCAGTGATTTCCAGAATCGAATGATTTCCTGTGATTTCTCAATAAGAATGAGAAATTGTTGGATTTCATGAAATGAAATAGTATTCAAAATTCAACCTCTACACAGCTTGACACATATCAGTGTTAGTCCATAAAATTCTCCAAACTTAAATTCGGAAAACTGTGTTTATGTTAAGTGGCGACCGCATGGCGGGCGACCACGAATACTCTAAACAAAACATAGGACAAAGAGAAAATGCGTATCAAGAGGTCCAGTGTACTGGTTCTTAGTTTTTCTGAAGTTAGTCTCCGATAGCCGGAGTTAGAGTAAAGATCGAGATGCGTCTTGTGTATTCAACTGAATAAAGAATCGAAGTTAAATTAAATCACAGAGTTATAATTCCACTTTCCCCATAATCCAATAAAAATTATGATTTCTTTTGATTTTTCGTGATTTCCATGATTTCTAGTAGATTCAGATCGATGATATGTTGATTTCAAGAAATCAATCGAAAAATCATGATTTCGAGGCCAAAATGGGGCATCTGTCCATAATTGCATATGGGTAAGATTCGGAGAACCAAAGAGTTTGGAAGGCCTTATAAATGTGATAGTAAGAATCAAATAACATGTGCATAAGAAGGTCATGAAGGTCAGACGGGATCGTATGAGTAAGCTCGAATAAAAAGTTTGGGTTTCACTTTTCTCGATGATTTCTAATGATTTCCGACAATTTCCAGAAGTCATTAGAAATCACTGCCGGAAATGGAAATCCATTTCCAGTGACTTTTAGTGATTTCTTCCTTGATTTCCAATCGAATGGTCCAATGATTTATTCTGTGATCAGCCCCTCGAGTATTGTTACCATGGAATCACTAGCTGACGGTTGCAATAACGTAACGACCTACAGTATCGGCTCAACATTACTATTGCCACACACCGTAAACTGCACATTGGACCAACACGATTACAGGGCTGGGCTGAAATTCTTCGCATTTCGGACACCCTAAAAACATTAAATTTCAACCAATTAGAGTCGCTCATCCAGAATCCCTGCATTACCGATCTGGATGCATGGCTCTGATTCGTTGAAATTTAAGATTTTCAGGGTTCCCTAAATGCGAAGAATTCCAGTCCTGGAAGTCTTTCGTTTATGAATTCATCGCGTACCCTGAAGCCCTTAAATTTCAACTAGTCAAAGCTACGCATCCAAAATCCCTGCATTACCGATGGGGCAGAATAGCTCTGATTGGTTGAAACTTGAGGTTTTTAGGGTACCCGAAACGCGAAGAATTTCAACCCTAAATTCAATACTTTACACCGTACTCGACTTTGTTTTTCCGCGAGATCAACTGCACGTTTGGCTATCGGTTTATACCTTGCCAATTCTGCCAACAATCGGTAGGTAATCAGTAAAGAAGATTCCTACATTACCAAGTCAGTAAATCAATAAAAAAAATCATCTTCCAATTTTGTTAATACAAAATCACTCATCCTAACATACCGAAAGGCACGCTACATGGTCAAATCGTAAATTTTGATGATTTCTATCAATGATCAAGAACAAAACCAGTTCCTATCAAACATAAAAGCATGTGGTTCCGTGGTGTAGCGGTTATCACGTCTGCTTTACACGCAGAAGGTCGCCAGTTCGATCCCGGCCGGAACCATGTTTTTTGTATTTTTTCCTCAGCAATTAATATGTTTATCTCTGTGATAATTGAATAATGAAATAGTATACTCCAGGTGCGCCTACCACAGAAGCCCAATCAATCAATCAAGTCTGATATTCCCAAGGAAAAGCGACAGGAGAACAGGGTATGAGCATACTCTAGATAGAATGTCGTAGCAACTTCTTTTCCATTCTTCCCGCATTTGCTGTTCTCTTTCTCTCTCATGCCATCTGGTCCTCCACCTGCGCCCGACTTGACTACCGAGCGTTTAGCTCTGTTGATCGCTTCAAAACCAGCTACCATCACTAGCCGGTTCTTGATTCTTTTGCGGCGGTCATCGACATTGTCCTTCGTTACGATTCATTTGATAAAGACCTCTTGGGCCGTTGGCAACAGAATTCTCCTCCCTATCTTTTGCACTCTAAAAAGAAAAAGCCCTCTATGAAGGGAATTGCAGAGGCAAATCCGTGAGGAGATAGGTCAAGTACCCTTACAAGAGCACCCTACGTACACTTGCATTGGAGCGAAATGATACAAAAGTACCCTGTTCTTTATTTACAACAGAAGAACTTCAGACCCACTGAGGTTTCTCTTAAGTATATAAAAAAATATACCCATACCTGCAGCAGAAAAAAGTTACCTCATTAGACACAGAAGAAAATATCTACAACGATTTTGTTGAATAAATATACATGCACTGCCCGAGATCCCAGGGAATCTATAAATATTCGTCAGTTGCAGAATCAGGTGCTTAGTGTTTGGAAATTCCTCTCTTTCGACCCAGTTTCGTATATCACCAGAGTGATTCAAATTGTCGAGTTTACAGCCTCGGGTCCCCTATTCACTATGCAGTAGCGATGGGCGATGTTTGTCGATTAATCGAAAACGTCGATTTTTCATGTCCAAACATCGATGTTTTCCATTCGATGTTTTCAATGGCCGATTAATTGATTTCCGATTTTTGTTGCCAAACATCGATGTTGTTGACCAAGCTAACAATATTTTTCATTTTTTTTAATCGGATAATAATGTTGATTGATTGAGGAGAAAAAAATAATGATATATACACAATCAGATCTAATTATTTCCGACACTCAAAACAAAATAGTTCTGATCAGTAGAGAAAGTACTCCTGCTCAGTCCCAAGGAGTTTCTGGGGAAAAAACTAATTTTGTATTTCCTCGAAGTCAGAAAAGAAGTAGATGCAAGTAGCATGCATCAAGTACCTGGGTATTGGTGAGAAGTACCTCGGTACTTTTCACAAGTACTTTTGTTATTCAGAACAAGTAAAAAAAAGAGTTCCATGTGATTTCATCACTGCGACATTTCACCCGCCAAAAAAATTATTGGGAATTTCAACTGGCGACAATTCATTTGCTGAAAAAAAATTCTGCGACATTTCACCCGAAAATTTCGGCACTAAGATATTGATGGAATAAAAGAAAGCAGAAGAAAAGACGGAAAATATAATTGTGGAGAATACATTTACGTCGAGAATATTTAATCTAATTTTTTTTTTCGGGTGATTTGTCGGGTGGATGAAATGTCGCAGTACTGAAATTACGTGTCACCAAAAAAAGTACTTGTACTGAGTACCTGGCTGATTCTTTTCAAAAGTACCAACAGAACTCAATGTAAGTAGCAACAGTGCTCAAATCCAGTACTCATAATTTTTTTCAGGAATTCATTCAAGATCAGAAACGAAGATCCAAATGATGGAGCACAAGTGAACACACAGAAATATCTAAAGGTAAAATACGTTTTTGAAATGGTAATTCACGTTTTCACAAACGTAATTTACGATTTTCTCAAACGGATAAATTATATTTTTGAGATCGTAAATTACGGTCAGAATAACGTGAATTACGATTTCAAAAAAGTGATTTACGATTCTTAACATTGGAAATCTATTCGGTTTAGAAAGCACCCTTAAAGATCACAACCTACTGATTTTTTCTTAACAAATATCTTCTGAATACTTCTATTTACAAAAATGTGCAAGAAAGCTCATTGTATCTGTCAATAATATTCGCGTTCCTCAATGAAGTAATCAATTGAAAGTACTGAAATTAAGTCATAAAAGGACTTCAAAGAAGTTCAAAAATTACTTTTATGCCACATCGTGCAGAAGTCGAGCCTGAAGCACGCTGCGCGAAGCGCAGCGTGCGATAAACTCGACTTATTGCATGGCGTGCCATAAAAATGATTTAACTAAATAAACTACACCAGAGCTCTGAGAGCTTAACAATAGCCAAAAGCAGAATAACAATTGTTAACCTGTATGGTTAACCGACATAGCTGAATGCAGACTGTGAAGGTACGAGTACTTATCATTGAAACCTGAGTTCCTCAGGTTATATTTTTTAAGCATATATTTCCAATAAGATCGATATTTAAAAAATTATTTTTTTCAATTTCTATTTTTTTTCTGTATAATGAGCACAGAAAATGACTTAAATAATCAATGTTGTTTCCAGAAAAATCGATGCACAACATCGATGTTTTTAAAAACATCGTCCATCCCTACTACGCAGTCCTCCTAGAGAAAATAAAAGAATAGGGCACCATCTCGGAGTGGACGATCGGATGATATATAACGACCCCACCGGTAGCCACCAGGTAGCATAAATTCGAATGCAAGATCGTATACCTGTCGTCCAGGTATATTGGAATGTCTTACTGAGGTCATTAATAAACCCCTAGCTATTTTCGCAAGGTTCCGGCCATAACCTCCCCCAGCAACCTTACCTTCTTATTGACCATATAAATAATAAGTTTGGTTATGAAATTCCATCTGGTGTATACAGCGTAAAGGATGGCTCAAGGATTGGTTTCAGATGTTACATTAAATCTAGTTGAAATCCTCCTCTCTCCGCTATAGTTTACATTGGCCTGCGTGAGCACTCGGGTAAAATATGAAAAAATCGATCGGGGGCCGCTTGCATCGCCCTCTTCCGCGCACGCCAACTAACGCTGCCTTACCCCCATGCATCCCAGGATGGGAAATAGGCCGAGTAGGATGGAGGGAGAGGTGCGCTCTAGCCTGGGCAATGGACAAGATGTGTATACTTATCCGTATATATAGAGATAGAAAAGCCGTGGAGGGCGCAGGGGGGGGGGAGGGAGTCGCACAGAAAAAGGGTGACCCAGAGTTCAACTCAATTGGCGGCGCTACCGCACGGTAATTAAGTCGAGTGCTTATGGTCCCTCTCTGGCATGGCAAGACTATTCAGGGTCACTCAGGTGAAAGGAACACGTCCGGTATTGAAATCAATTAACACAAAAATGTTTTTTCTTCTTACTTCGTTTTATTCTCACTTTATACTTGATTACTTCATCAATTTTGTTTGGACATGGATGAATGAGTCTTTCGTCGGTCTTTCTCATTGAAGAACAACTGTGCAGTAGCAGTGACGATCGGAGAGTAGGGATGGGCGATTAAAAACATCGATGTTGTGAATCAATTTTTCGCATTAAACAGAAAACAAAACAAATTTTTTTAAATAATTTTTTTCAATCTTGTTTTTATTGAAAATATATATTAGAAAAATACAACCTGAGAAATTTACGTTTCAATGATAAGTCCTGCTGGAGAGTCAAATTTTGAATCTCGAAATAGGGTTGTTGATTAATTGAAATGAATATATTGAATATTTTTCGTGGGTGTACGTTACCTGCAATAATTATTATTCATTATATATATCATTATTGATAATGGTTGTAGCCGATAGACTAATCTAAAAGAACAATAGACGATTAGACTTGTGCACTTATTATTCATAACGTATATACTGTAGAAAATAATTACTTCTGATTGCGGATAAGTTATTTTTTTAAATTCTCCATCAACCAACATTATTATTTGATAAAAAAATGAGAAGTTTTGTTAGTTTTGTCAAAACATGGCTGTTTGGAAGGAAGAACAGAAAATCGATTAGTCGACCGTTGGAAAAATTGAATGAAAAAAATCGATGTTTTCGATTAATCGATAAACATTGCCCATCCTTAGGGAGATCTGCAATGCGGAATTTGAGAGAATCGGAACAATTTTCAAACTGAAATCATTTGAAAATTCTGAATAATGAAATGGGAGAATAAGCTGACAGGAATTCATTAATTATTCTCTATTTAGTAGCTGAGGATAATTTATGAGGTAGTAACCTTTAAAATTCACTTGCAGTGCACTCCGGTGTTAACGTGTCTCAAGAGTAACTCGATGTACTTCATCAGGGCATTTCCTTACCTTGGATTAATAATTAACGAGCCAGAAAACATTTCCGGCTAGTACTACCCCGGGCAAATTACCAGTATCTCATGCGGTGAAGATCACTCGCGCTAATTAACGTCGATCCATGAAGAGCGCTTCAATCTTCTCCGAGACTTTTTGGTATTCCCTCGAGGGAGAGGGATAAAGGAGTAGAACATACACCTGTGTGTATGCATGTATCTGTCACAAGCGACCTAAGAAGATTCGCCACGGATTTCTCATTCTCTGTGACAGGGACGTGACCTCTGCGACTCACTGTTTTGTCTCTATTACATAATTCAATTGTCACGAAAGCCCAGTGGGCTGCCTTACATTAGTCTCCACGGGCGGGAATATAATCCTATTAAGACAATTGTAGAGTCGCAATCTGTTACAAAAAAAGAAGAACCTTCGGCAGAGAAATGGGGGACAGTTAGTGTCTTCAGATCCAATTATGTGAATTAGGAGAGTTGAAACACTCCAAGATTAACATCAGTTCATGGCAATCAGTTTATGAAGAGTGAAAAGACGCGAAGATGTGAAGAAATTGAAAGTCCTTTTGTGATTCGTAATCCCGTGAGCTTTGACATGATCCGATCAGCCTCAATGAATTAATGTTGATAAAAGTTTTAGCGATTTTTCAGTGATCGAAAAATGGTTGGGGCTGACACATTCGCTAGCTACGCTACTGAGACCTGTGTCGAGTGGGGTGGGGGAGTGCCAGCGAACCAGCCTCGACTCGAACCAGCCGGAACGGGGAAGAACCTCGTGTGTCTACCGTCTCTGTCTTTGCTTTTAGTTTGAGCTGGGCGAGCAGCCAGTAAGCTCGTGTTATTCCTATCCATCGTCGGCAAAATTTTTATACATGAAATTTATTTTTCAGCTGTGTTTCCATGGTCATAACAGTAGCCTTCGGTCTCAATTGCGGTGTTAGTTTGTGATGATGTGAAAGCGCGGCAATTCATCCTAAATTTCGAAATCAAATGATTTTGACAATATCTGTAAAATGAGCAAAATCGTTGATGGAACTTAATTCGATACTTGGGGTTGTTTATCGGTGAAGTCCAGGGGATAAGTTTTGATGACCTATTGAGATTGCGTTCTGAGACTCGAGGTGAAGATCTGAAGCAAGAGGGAGAAAGACCGGGGAAGAGTGCGCGTGCTGGTAGTCCAGGTGGTGGACCAGGTGGTAATTGTCTTTTGGTGTCTCGTGCCGGTGAAAAATTTACTCCTGGGAACGTCAACGTTCCGTTGGTATCTTGGTCTTGCATACCTCGGTGTTCTATTCCTCATGCTGGGAGTTCTGAAGCGGCGCTGGAAGCCTTCGAAAAGGTAAGAATCATCCAAACAATGATAGAATGATTGTTATCGTAACGTTTGACAATGAGCCCTGATGTTTCCACCAAAGTCATAACGATCATTTGATCAATGCAATCAACTATTTCTTGATGCCATGCATTCCCTGACTCACACTCATGTTATGTTCAATAAACATAAGCTCACCAACTGTATTGATCCAAACACGTATGCATTTTTTTTGGTAAACAACCTCTGTCGTTCCGATTTAACATCGTATTTCTTTATTTTCATTCTCTCACTTGTTATTGGAACACGTCGCAATGTGATGAATTTATGTGTCATGTTTATCGAACGTAGCTAATTAAAAAATACTGATTGGGAAAGGAGTAGAATAGAAATTCCAAAGTTGGATTTTTTATACGACGTTACTTCATCGCCCACGTATATTCTGCGTCGAGTTGTTGAATTGAGAATCAATGTGACACTGTCGAGGTGATGTCTAAGTTTAGACAGTCTTGTGTCCCTTCTAACCGACTTTATGTCTATAGTATGAGGACACAGATTCTCACGTTGGTTCCATTCATGTAAATGCGCGTTACCAGACGCTTTCAGCGGAGTTAATGTGTCGCAGGATGACTGCAGCATATTCATAATGTCGAATAACGATGATTCTAGAATCTGAAGGATGCAATTGTCCGCGTTATAGAGTTGCAGGTTTATATTTGTTATAAACTATTTTCCGCGCATGTCGGTTGAGATGAATGAGATGTGGTCATTCGCGGGGTTCGGGGTATTCTTTTATGTCGTGCCGACGTATGCGTACTATGTCTTGTGAATCGCGCAGCCGCTGTGTAAATATTACGCTGTGGATCAAAGCGTACCTCATTTTTTTTTTCTTCCCCATATAACGGGCAATTTTTTTTTTTCATCGTTACCTTGTTCTTCATCATCGCAAAAATTTATTATTACGGTGACTCGATAATAGGTAACTCTGCAGCTAGTGTTATTGGAAAGCCAGTGTTCGATAACAATGCACTAAAGTCGAATCGAAGGATTACTTGGCTGTAAATCTTGTCCACAATTTTTTACTTACTATCACACAATAAAATAGTTTAACGGAGCAATTGTCGGTGAAGGTAGATAAAAATATATTGAACCAGAGGGGGTAAAAACAAAAAGGGATTTTAACGAGCACGAGACTAGGAGGAAGATAGTAGCAATTCTCCTCTCGTGTGCACACACCGGTCTCTCTCGTGCCGCCTCGGGCGATGTACAACGCTGAGGGAAGAACGAAAAATACAGAGAGGGATGATCTCGTGCATCAGAAACAGTGTATGTCTAGCTGTCGTCAAAAAATGAGGGGAAAAATGGAGAAGAAAAATATCAAACTACCACACACGATTCTACTGTCAGAGATCAGACTGCTCGCGAATTTAGTCAATACTGCAATCGCCGGTTTTGATGGACAGGTCAAGACCGCAATATTTCAACTGTATTCAATATTTTGATTGATTCTTTTATCTTTATTTAGTTTTTTTGAACGGTTCAGTTGACAAGGGAAATCCATTTTGTGGATTTCGAAGAGATTATTTCTGTTGAGTTGCAAGGCACTCACTGGATTCCGGCGTAAAACTCCTTTGTTTCCTGTAGTTTGTTTTTCGGAAAGGCAGGAATCGGTGCACCAGTTCCCAGAGATATAAAAACGCAAGAATTTCTCGTTCTCAACTATAAAATTCTCCTCCACTTTTCTTAATACCCCCCCCCC